AAAAAAAAAAAAAAGTGCAAAAGTGGAAGGTGTGCGGAAGAGGGGGCGAGTATATAACAAACTATATTTTGAGTGGAAATGTTGGGGGGTCGTCTTATACGCCGGGTCGTCTTATACGCCGGCATATACGGTATATTAGGAAAATATCACTGTCACAAATCACACTCTTTGAGCAGGGGACTTTGTTGCTCATAAAAGACACAAAAATAAGTGATTAACTGAGGTTGGTACTTTTTGACAACTGTCCCTTTAGGATTACAGATCACTGCTGTTAATTGATGCCAAACCACATCCCTGAAACTTCAGTTAATCTCCAAAAAACTTTAGACCAAAGATGAAATTAGGAGTGGATAAATAAATCAACAGGAATTACAAACATCTTTTTAAATAAGAGATATAAGTTGTACCAGCTAACAAATTGGGAGTCTTTAGAAGAGGTCATGCAGCAGTTGCTTGCACAACTATCAACTAGTCAGAGTAGGTTCTTCCAAGTGACAGATCTTGCATAAAACAAAATACTTTTCTTCTAGCAATCTTCTTTGCTGCACCATATAATCCATTATAAAAAATGAACTCATGCTTCAGCTTCATAATAGATGCGGTTAAAATATCTAGTTTCCCATCAGAAGATTCACACCACTAATGGCTGTAAAACTCTGCATCCAATTCTTGAACATCTGGGACTTTGCAGCATCACATGAGCAAGTTACTAAACTCTACTAGTCTGTTATTGTACACAGGATTATTCTGGAAGAGACTGTATCTGCATTAGACTCCCCATCTACTGTGGGGTGGGGGGAACCAGTTTTGAACATTTTCACTGCGCTACACAGGATTATTTTTCAGTTGTGGTGACCAATAGCAAATTTACATGCTTTTGAATAAATAAAAAAATATAGCCAGTTTCATTGGGAAGCATTGTAAAACTGCTATTCCATGTATCGTTTTGTCATGGCCAATTTTTACTTTGACTTTGGAGAAAAATACAAGGAGCTTTCTATAATCTGTTTTCTGCTTTTGTTTTCAAGTAATGCTTGACACCTGGAATTACATGAACTTTTTTTTGAAAAGTTTGTGATTGCTTTTATCCTAGGGCTGAGACAGAATGATTGTTGCAAAATCATCTATTTGGCTCCCATGCCTAAGACACAATTAGAACTCCAGCTTCCAGTCCAATTCCTTTAAATGGTATAGTAAATTGACTTATTTTCTGCATTGTATTTATCTGGCAGCTATTGTTATGTACCATTTTTAAGTGCTGTGGGAGATGCTCTTCTTTAATTCTGTTAGCTATTGAGCAAAGAAGCCTGAAACACATCCCCTTCCTCAAATTATCATAGCTCCTAAGCCATTATTTTTCCTATTATTTAGGACATTACAGCTGCTTCTTCACATTGGCTTCATTTCAATATTCCCAGGAGTCCCCTTCCCCAAAAGCATCAATTCATTTAAGGTCTATTTTCTGTACAGGCAACAAGATAACAATTCACACATTTTACAATTGTATAAATTTACCTTTGAACACCACAAGGACTGGAGAAGGAAACAGTCAATTTTCCCATGATAAAGTCTTACCAGTCGTCTGGATCATATCCAATGTATTCAAGACTCTTAAAGGCATATAGACCATGTAATTATAATTGGAACACATTGATAACAGGAAACGTATTTTAAAATGTAAAAGTGCAACTTGCTTACAGATTCATAACGATCCAAGAGCACTGATTTTTGCATTAAACAATAGGGATATTCTACATTCTCAGAGATTGTCCTAACTTCAACACACCCACATTTTAGAGTTCCTATTCTTATTATGTAGAGTAGGAAACAAATTTGCATCAGATAAGTGTAATTCTTTCATAAAAACATTTATATTCTGAATTCATGGGGTATTTTCTCAAAAAAATAAATAAATTATATTATCTGCAAATTAAAATACAAACTGATAATTCAATTGAACATTTTTCTATTTACAGATTCTAAATAAATGTTCCAAAAATGCTAATGAGGAATAGACTGATCTTATTCATGTTTATTAAAATATTTTCTTGTTAACCTACGGCCTACAGTATCCTAATTATAACCCCAGCCTTAGGTATACTTTCTGCATTTCTCTTGTCCAAATCTTGTTATTAACCTGCAGGATATGTATATGTGTGGATGCACACATTCTAGCTAACTAGTGAAGATGTCAGATAGTTTTGACTACAATTGTCATTCTTACCTGTGATTTTCCATCCAGTGTAAGTGAATTTCTAAAAGAATGAGAACATAATGACATGCCAGCTTACTATTAATCAAGTATAATTAGAAGTGTTTCCAACTTCCATAGCCATGTACACTAAAATGGAGGCTTCATTTATCTAGACTAGTGATGCTTACCTTGCAGTAGAATAAAATACCTATTCTAAACACTTTGGCCTTGAAATAAAATGCAACTCTTTTGTCAAAATAGTATCTGTGAAATTTCTTTCAAATAGGTACACTAAAGTAGCACATCTACCTTATTTTTACACATTTGTATCTCCTATCATTACATTTTAGAAGTTTCTAAAAATAATTGGCTTAATATGTCATTCCTCTAGTAAGGCTGAACAATGAGGTATTATTATAAAGCTTCAGTATACTCATATTTATTTTTGTGCTGTTTAAATGCTTGAATGACTACATGAATTAACGTAACATTAACAGCTTAATCAGTCAGCCATTTCTGCCTATGATAAATCTTACCTCAATAAATATGTGGTATATCTTTGTGGGAGAATTTACGTACTATTGCATACTATAGACATATGAGAGTAGTTAAGAAAAATGAATATATTGAACATCAAATAAGAAAGATGGAATGAAGTATTTTCAAATGCTGGACTCACAAAGTATTTTGTGTTCCTGTACATACAAATGCTTCCCCTTCCCATCTAAAGCAGCCATAAGGGATTGGGCCAATTTAGCTATTGTAGGCTGCTTTTATATTACTAGGTGTAGGAGAAAAGCGGGCTAAGCTAGAAGGCAGAGTTAAATTGTCATCAGTTTGGAATCACTGTGTTGTCATAAGAGATCCAAGTTCAGTCCCCACCCCCCAGGAATACCATTGACTCTTATCTAGTACCAATTTAGCTTTGACTGTTAGTTAACTTGATTCTTGTGTATAGGTAACAACAACAAACTCTTCTGTGTTTTGAACTTAGTTAATGCTCCTGGTTATTTGTGCCTGACACTATGCATGATTTGGATGCAATAAAATACAGTGGTTAGCATTCAAACATGCTGAAAACAGAATGACAAAAATGTTATTTATTATTCTACATTCATACAATATTAATATTTAATTATATCTTTAAAACAGTATTTTACACCAAACTTAATAAATGCTTCACTCACTACATGGCTGCAACCCAAAGTCTAAATTTGTTTTAAGATTTAGGATTTATGTCAAAAAAATAATGCATGCAATCAATCAATCAATCAATCAACATGCAATACTGAATTTAGCACCAAAATAACAGCTCATAAATTACAGAGCTGGTCACACATTTTTAACAGGTGTCCATTCAAATATTATTTAAGGGCATCAAAATAATTGCACCCATTTATATTAACATGCTCCTTTTTTTTAAAAAAAAGTTCTCTATGTAACAGCAAGAATTTGGAAGCTGAATGGCAGGCATTACAAAGCATGACCTGAGTGTTGAAGACTATTATCAACAAAATGTTTTTTGTACAATTTCTGTGCTGAGATTTTTCAACATTTGGCTCTGCTGGTTGGGGTTGCAGTTATAGTCCACATTATCACAGAGATCACAACTATTATTCCTGCTCTTAACTATTAACTACTTGAGCTTATGCTCTGAATTTCTAAAATAAGGCAGTTAGGTTGCCATTACTTATTAGGATTGCTTCATCGGGCTCTATTATGTAATTGGCAGGGTACAATATGAAGTATTCTATTTCAGCAGTCCCCAACCTTTCCAGCTTGCTGGCCCAGAGTGCTTGTACTGGCATGTGAAACTCCATTCCCACGAATGGAGCTTTGCGTAAGCACAAGTGCTTTCTGCTCACGCAAGTGGAGCTTTGTGCACATCCTTACCTGCCACTCGCACAAATGGAGTTTCACACGTGCATGTGCTTGCCCCACAGCCCAGTTTCGAACAGGCCATGGCCTGGTAGTGGGCCCTGACCCAAGGATTGGTGACTTCTGTTCTAGTTAGATTGCCTCATGCAGGGTCAGGGTCTTTATACATTATATTATATTTGCAATGTATCAGATGAGTTGACCATAATAATCCTATATTATATAATATATATAATAATCCTAGTGAAATTAATGAACTTCTCAAGTTGTGCTGTAGTAAGACCGGACTAACTGAATGATAGCATGGCTCTTCCCTATTTATCAACCTCTTCCAGTTTAGAAATCAGTTAGCTTTTGTTAACATAAACAAAATATTCTGATTCTTCTCTTACTTTCAGAAATAAATTCTAGTTGATTTACAAGCAAGAACTATAAAATTAAAACAAAACAAAACTCAAGTATTTCCAGATCCAAAATTTTGCCAAGTAACTATCACTTCATCATTCTTTCTTCCAAAAAATTATGAAGTATATCCTTTTCTTAAATACAAAAAGCCCTAACACCCTGAAGCAATTCAAACAATATATGGGATTTATTAATTCCAATCAAAGCTATTTGGTCACTGTGAAATGGACCTACATAGAATTAACAGTGCTTCCTTGAAGGTATCATCAAGTCCATCCCTCATGAAGGATGCTAACATAGAAGTGGTTTCTTACAGATTTTATAGAAAAAAATCCCAAATATGAACAACCTGCACAATGCAACTGCATTCACTTTTTAAACAGAAATGATGAGAGGTCAGTCTGAAGCAAGGCTATAATAATGTGGAACACAGGATGAATTAGTTTTGAAGTCTGTTTCTAATGCATCTCTTCCTTTTTCTTACTTTATTTGTATGCAGTTCTATGCATTAACAGTCAATGCAGAGCTTCATTTATCTGATGAGTGTACAATGCAACATCAGCATAGCTCTGAAATGAAATGAAAATTTCTTTATGCCAAAAGAACAGCATTGTAGAAAGCCTTTGTTATATTATAATTATATCTTCCAATTTTTCTTGATCTTGAAGTAATGCAATAAAATAGGAGACATAGAACGTGCCCAGTTTGTACAATTGACTGCATCCACAGTTTCAGTAGATAGCACGTGGATTTTTGGTGGTATAATAGGCCTCGCAGGCTGCTACATAAGCTGTCTCTGGAAAGAAGTCATCATGATACTCAGCTAGGAACCTATAGAAATAAAATATGTATGATTATTTGTTCTGTTAAATTATCCAAGATACTCTTAAAATGCTTCTGAAAAACTGCTATAAATTAACCAAGTACCCTATACTATAAATCTTTTAAATGGTTAATTGGGTGTGGTTCCCCCATTGTATCCAAGAGGACTTACTTTTGAACTTTGAACAGTTGCAAGTAATCCACTGAAATACTTCTGGAAATGCTTTCATTCGGATCATTATTTAAACAGATTTTGCATATTTTTTCCTAATTTATGTAACTCATTTGAAACTAAAATAATTAAATATCATAATTGTACACTTAATGATTAAATACTTTTTCCAGCACATGAACTTCAAAATAAAAATTCTAATCTAATATATTAAGAACTTTTTGTTTGCTGTAGTAATCCAGACTGGAACTATATTATCTGCATATAGTACAGACTAGTGGTCACAGGTTATTACTGCAAGTTATATTACCCTAAAATATTTTTTCTACAAATAATATTCCTAAATATTTTAATTAGAAAACAGATAAAATCAGACATTATGCATTATATGGCATTTGTCAAAAGGACTGATTCAGTGCTGCAGAATTAAGATATATTAATTTTGAATGGCAGGTATATTGTTCTATATGAAAAAATAGATCCTAAATATACATCAGCAATGAACCTGCAGGTTATTATTGCAATATATTAATTGATAGTATGAACAAAACTATATTCTTTTCACGTGAACACCTTAAGAAATACAGGAAAAACAATTATCTTTCTAATCTACTGTATATGCAAGTTCTACATACGCTGAAATGTCTCTTTAATCATACGTATGGCACATAATTTCTGTCAATCTCCTATACACAATAAAAGTAGTCTTTGTTTAGTGACTACCTTGATTAGCAACTGTTCACAGTTATAACAGCGATGAAAAGGTAATTTTGTGACCAATGCCCATATTTACCTTTGCAGGCTCTCTCTCTTTCTCAATCATGTGTTCCTCATTACAATCAGTTACTGGTTTGTGTTGTCTTGTGCCTGACCCTTTTTCCTTTTTCTCTGCTTACTGAGTGGAGAGATTGCCTAAACAAGCTATCTCTTGCTGAGCTGCTTTTCTCCGCAGCACACCATATCACTAAAAAGTGCTAATTTGTAATGGTGTGTGGGAATAACCTTGAGGGAAGACAGTGGGAGATGCTTCCTACATAATGGCAAGGGGAGGAGCTTAATGGTCAGGGAAAGAACCCACTCTAATTGACCAGGCTATAAATAATGAATGTAGGTGTGTGGGGGGGAGGGATTCTACTTTGACTCTTGTAGGATTCTGGTAATGTACCCTTATAATAAGCATTAGATTATCTGGTTGTTTCTTGTCTGGTTTACCTGAGTGCTCATATTCACAAATTAACCAATTCAGCTTTGTGATTGTAGATTTCTCTGCCAGCTCAAACCTGCTGCCTAAAGTTATCAGGAGCGTTTACCTTCTAAGCAGCTATCATCTAACATCCTCTAGATCATGGCTGTCAAACTCGCTGGCCACGCCCATGCACGGTTTAACAAAGGGGAAAGTCATGATACATCACATGACGATGCCGTGACATGTGAGTTTAACACCCCTGCTCTAGACATATATTCTCCATTGTGTGTCTGCTTACTCTCTTGTAATCTCTTTCTCTCCAATGAATGTAAATGCAAACATTAATTCCCTTCTTGCTAATTATCCTAGTATTAGATGAGCAGTCCAAAAGGTAGGGAAATGGGGAAAAGAGCTATAAGATTTTATCCTTTTATTCAGCTTCCTAATGGTCTAGAAACATTCTCCGCCATTTGGGCTCACCTGACTCTTTGGGGTCATATCCTTATGACACTGTACAAGCAAAGGACAACTGGAGTAAAATTGTAGCAGAGTTTCAGTCAGGTGAGTTTTCCCTTAGTACTGCTTCACTTAATAATCATGTGCCAGTCCTAATTACAGATACCAAATGAGGATTACCTATAATATTACAAGGAAAGTATTTTTATAGAAGCTAAAACTTCCTGATTAGACTCTTCTACTTTTCTCCTATAGGATGAATTAGCTATCTAACAAATAACTTTCCTATAACTAAAAAGTTTGTTCTGCAAGTTACTAGCTGCTCTCGAATATTTAGGCTTCTAAATTTGCTGTTATCCATAGGTTACCTTAGGAACAACTCAAAATGCTTTACTAAAGCTTTTAGATTTTTGTCAGAAAAGCTCATCTTCCCAAGTATCTCTGGAAGCTTTACTGTAAAAACAAAAAGGGAAAAATGTCAACCTTTCCCATTTGACAGTTTTTCTTTCAATTTAAAGCAGTTTACCACTAACACTTCCCCTTATTTGTTATTTCCACTTTTTTATACTCCATCTTTAATTTAAGCATTCAAAGTTACCTTCATCCAATTATCTCCCTCCACCCCTCCTTAACATCGTAACATGATTTGGGCTGAGAGTTAATAAGTGGCCTGAGATCACCCATACTTTATAGAAACCTATTATAAACATTGGAATGTCAGTTAGATTGAAATATAGTCTTGATTTTTTAAACAAAAAATCCTCTTAAGAGAGATTTATATTTCTAAATAAATCAGATTATTTAAAAATATTGTTGCATATATGTACCTAAGTGAACTAAATCCTACTAGGAATGCAGAATTAATTTCAAATTAAAAATCTTCAATAAATGTAGTGCATAAAGTTATAACAAAAACCATTGTAGAAGTTCATATATGTTACCAAACATGCGCAGCAAATGTTGAGATCCATAAATGTAAGAAGGTGGCGGTGGCTGATCGCCTGGAGGATAGTTTTCTGGCATGAGTTTCCATGACAACACCTAAAAATAAAATTAGAATAAACTTTGTCTTGATCTAAATCTAATTTAAAATCATGTCAGGATTACTAAATACTATCAAAATCTTTATCTTAGTAGTTTAAAATATGTAAAACAGAAAACTTCATAATTTATACAATTTTCTTCTTTCTGCATCAGAACCATTTCCAAAACTGTTTTTAAAACAGTGTATTTATTAAATAAAACTGTTTGCATTTATTAAAAAATAAAATTTACAGAATTATGTTCGCAATTAATTGTAAATACAAATTCTCATACACAATAGATTTCCTTTAAACTTTAATTACAGCTCTAAATATATCACCTATAAGATATAAACATTGTAATCCAACATACTGTATTTAGAAAGGAAGAGGTTAGTACATATTAAACAGTAAGCTAAAATGATGCAAGCTCTATTTCAATAATATCTGGACAAATGTAGGTTCCTAGTTCAAAGACATCTTGATTCACATCTCGAATCATAGTCTTGGACAAAAAAAATCTTACCTCATTCAATTCATTATTTCTTCTGCCTTCAAATCCAGCAAATACTGCACTACCTTCTTTGCTAGGGGTTAGCGTAATAGGAGATGATGACCCACTGTGGACGGGAGTTTCTTCAAGAAAAGAGTAGGACATTATTTTATGCATGGATATATAAAGACAAGTACTCTTATTCAGCTGTGAGAGATTTCCTACAGCTGTTAAGAAGTTCCTTTGACCTTTTTCAAGGCTCCAATTTCTTTACTATGTATTTCTTTTTTATTTGTAGCAGACCAGAACTTTCCTATAGCGTACTACGTAGTAATAGTGCATTATTATTATTATTATTATTATTATTATTATTATTATTATTATTAT